TACACCGGAATGTTTGCTTTAGTTGGAATGACAATTGCTGCTTTGCCGAAGTGCGGGCGCTAGTCAGGCATTGCTATGGATACTATGTGTATAAGCTGCAGCCGACAGCTTTGGAATTCAAAGTGAAAGCCAGATATTGCGTAGGTTAGTAATTTATCGGTTGCCTTTACAATGATCATAAGACACTGTAGACTTCTTCTCATCAATTCTTAGGGCATGTTACTCCTCTTGTGCTATGAGCACAAATCTTAGTGACCGACTAAAGCTTTCCGACTTCTGATTGACTGATAAAACAGAATATAGAACTTGAGAGAACAATGCCGAAAACGAGTTTCTAAAAATATAAAAAATGTAAACATCAGTGACACACTCGGCTGCACCTCGTTAGCTCTTTTTTCGTTTTTACCGCATTTTGATGTCATCAGTGATCTTTTATTGAACAGAAGCACAATAATACGTATACTACTCGGTTGTGTAGACTCTAAGTGCCATATTTTCATTAATCTCTGTGATGTTATTTTCACCCTATATCAAAGAAAACCGAGCCATCCCTTATGAAGATGCTTTGTTTTACCAACCCGTTACAAAAACTGGTGTGCAGTCAGCATTGACAAATCACGCGATTCACACGGAATATCACGTGACATCTTCATGGAAGTGTATGGCCTATTGCCTCTCGGAGATGACGTGTGTGTCATTCAGCTACTTCCCCCAGAGTAACACATGTGAGCTTAACAACAGCACTGAATCGAGTAACCCGGAAGGTTTGAGAAAGAGACCTGGGACCGAATATTACGAAAAGACAAGTCATTCATCATTCTTAGGTTGAGAAGCTGGTTCAAACAAGAATGGAATTAACCGTGAAATTTCTAGATGGTAAGAGAGCAAGTTTTCCTATGCGGAACACTTTGGCATAGAATAGTAGTATTTATTGTCAAAGCTGCGATGGAAACAGACTCATTTGAAGCGGTGTAAGGAAAGCCCTTCATAGGATGTTACATCAACACAACATTTCACACTTTGTAAATATTTTTCTTTTAATTTTCCGAGTCAGTTTTTCATTTTTACAGTTTAGACACAGGATAAGAGAAACAATTGCACATAGCAACTAACAACAAAAGTAAAGAAATCCGAAGGTCTGGATTAAGTTTAACTACGTTCTATCCAAGTTTAACCAAACAAAACTCTGAAATCGGAGTTTTTTGTTTGTTGGTATTTTTGTCCCTCATTTCTGGCAAGACGAATAAAATGTCTTCTTATTCGACCTCTAAGATAAAATTTTGCTATCTTTCCTATCTTACATTCACACAAAACAACAAACCTGTGAAGTCGCATTAACATATTTGCGTAAGTAAAGCAGCCTATTATGTAGGCTATACGAGTTTTTACGACACTTACCTGACCAACTGGCACCATTTAGTTTACCTATGAATGTTCTGATATTTGAGGCGAAGGATTTTACGCACAATGGAATTGCCGGCACTATCTTCTGAAGTGCCTGTTCATGTTCCTTCACCGATTGATGGTGCTACTCAGTTACAATAAAAACGCGATGGCAAGATACCCATGTCGTGCGAAGGTATTTTCCTTGCTTTTGACATTAATGAAATCCATAATGTAAACTGGAAGCCAACAAGATGCAAAGCCGAGCAGAACCATTGCTAAAGTCTATGTCTGTAATAAACCAAGGACACGAATATTGTAGATCTACATGCTTTTTAATGAGGTCGAAGAAAAGAACTGAAATCATACATTGCACAACAGGGATATCCGATTACTCATCACATGATTCTGAACGTGACTAGATTATAACAATGTCACTTTTGCTTCTTCCACTTTCGCCCGGAACGCTGAGGGTTATTTTTGTGCGAGAAAACACGATTTGATCTCGAAACAGCGTGAAATACTTTGACGCAGCAGACCGTGATAATGGCGAAAGGAGTGGCGATATCAATAACGTTGCTAAAGATTATGAAAGCTGTGTCATCTTCGAATGTGATCAAGCATATTGCCTCACCTGAATGAAACTGAAATCTGCCTCTATTCTCTCGAATGTAGAGAATAGAGGCAGAGATCCAACGAAAGCCAAAC